CTGGAGGAAGGCTGTAAGGGAAGGGCTTGGCCTCTCCCCTGCCCGCAGCCAGTGGGTGCGGGCCTCCATGGCATCCTTCCGGCAGTCTTCCCGATGTGCTCGTGCGAGTGTTGCCTGGGCTTCGACCAGTTGTTGAAGTGGCTGTTGTGCTGTGGGGGCTGCATCCACCGCTTGCCTTGCCAGTTGGACCTGCGGTAACACCTCCCGAGCCCGGGCCCCTGGTCTGAGCTTGCGGTGTTGTGCCGCCTTGTTGAGCTGAAGGGCCAGGGTGCTCAGCCGGCGTTTAAAAGCTGGCCACCACGCAATCAGGCCCAAAGGGTTGTCCTCCGCAGATGGTGCTGTGGCACACTGGCTGGTGATCCATGCCTCCATGCTTGCGGCTAGGTCCTGGTGTGATGTGAAGGCCAGACGCACTCGTCGGTTCCCTGGCCCCTTGCTCTCTGGTCGGCATGGCAGCAGGTGCATGACCATTGGCTTGTGATCCGACGGTGTTTGCACGGCAATCTCCGTCTTAGCAATGTACGGCATGGTGCCATGGTCTACATAGATGCGGTCTAGGCGGGAGGCCCCGACGCAGGGAGCTCTGTAGAAGTGGGTGTAGTCACAACTGTGGGGGTGCAGCTGGCGGTGGCTGTCCACCATGGTGGGGCCTGCTGCCCGAAGAAGGTCCACTGTTGGGCCATCTCCCCGTCGCCCTCCTGGGCCTGCTGTGGAGTCCATCCCTGGGTCTTCCACAAAGTTGAAGTCACCTGCCCAGACCAGCATGGTGTCACTGTTCTCGGCTGCATGCTTGGTGGTGGCAGACAGTGTGGCTGTAAACAGCGACTGCCGGATCGGGGTGGCTTGTGCTGAGGTACCCGTGGGGCCGTATGTATGTATGTATGTATGTATGTATGTATGTATGTATGTATGTATGTATGTATGTATGTATGTATGTATGTATGTATGTATGTATGTATGTATGTATGTATGTATGTATGTATGTATGTATGTATGTATGTATGTATGTATGTATGTGGCCATCTACTGACTGCGACACGAGCACAATAGTAGTGCCACATTGACGGATACATCGATTACGCCTTTACGTACAGATGTCTAAATGGTGCATGCGGCACAGCGGCCACATCTTCCTCCAGTAGCACTCCATTACGGTTTTCTTGCTATCCAATCCCATCCCTCTCATATCCCCCCTTTACAGAGCACCTGCGGTAAAAGCAATGTGCTCGATAAGGTCATCATCTGGGCCGACGACACCAGTTTTTACCGCAGCAGCATCAAGTCCATTGCTCTCTACGCTGCGGGCGACACCTCCGCGAAGTATGTCGTGCCGAACTGGAACAAGTTTGGTAGCCAGCAGGTGAAGGCAACCAAGATTGGCTGGACTAAGGATAAGGCGAACGGCGGAGCCATCTGCCTGGAGCTGGACCAAGACGTCGACCTGTCTGATTTTTGCTTGTGGCGGTTTCCCCAGCAGAAGAACTCTTGCATGTAAGGGCCTGGGGATTTGTTTGGGGGCTGCCTGCATGCTTGTCATGCCGTGTTGGAAGCCATGAAATGGGAACCAGTACGTCTGGCGAGGATGTTGGAACGTATGTGGGCTCACCGAAACTCACTGGACGCTGGTCTAGGCTGATGTGCGGTGTTTCCTGTTCTCCGTGGCTTTTAGGCGCATCCTTGGGCCTTCGGCTCGTATGGGTAGTTTTACAGGTATCGGGTCATGCACCCCCAACCATGTAAAACACATACGCATGTCATGCTGTGTGCATGCATGGCGGGATGTGAATGTGTGCGCGAACTAGGCGGCACTCGGTCGCCATCCCAGCTGCAGAAATGCATGCATGCACCTAGCTAGACTATTTACGCGGGCTTCCTTGCACATGGTTGAAGAGCTCTCCAACGGCGCCCTAGCCTTGCACTAGCTTAGCTTTTTTACTGCTTAGAGGTGCCTCTGGCCGAGCGTCCTGTCTACCTAGCTAATTTTGTGTCTTCCATGCCCATGCCCATCTTGCTTGATGCAGGGTTTCCCTTTTCGATACATCCTATAAATGCTGCCCGACGTACCGGCCGATGGCGCTTACTACGTAGATGCCTGCGATTACAGCTGGCCAGCATCTAGTCTTGTGCGAAGCATACATGGGGTCTTACGTTGGACCACTAACCTGGTGAGAATGGATGGTAGGATGTAGACTATTTGGTTTGCAAGTGTGCTTTGGATAAAACCCATGTTGGTTGTTCCTAAACTCGTGCACGATGCTGCCCGTGAACAGGGCAGGTAAGGTTGTGTGTTTGGAAGTGTTTGGAATTACATGGAGGTTATCCCTAGGTTTCAGTGATTAACAGTGCTTGAACAGTCATGTTTGCGGCTTGTTTGTGTGTTCCTGCCTGTCCTTACCGGCCGTGTTGCCTGCTGGACCTGCCGCTGCTGCGCTGCCTACCCGTACGATTTCGTTAGGACGAAATTCATTTCGTTGTGCAGGTCGCCTTTCTTACTTTTTCAATTTTTTGTGTCAGAGGTGCTTGCTTCCTTGCAGCAGGTGGAAGTGATCACCTCGCCGCAGTTTCAATCATTTAAATACCCCCCCACGTCGCGCAATGATGTGGGGTATCGTAGGCTGCTTTATGCAGCCTCGTTAACTTATTGGATCACACCTGCGATCATTCATAAGCGGAGTCAAAGTGAGCAAGCACGCCTGGTCGGTCAGGTTTTATAGTATGCTGCTTGCTGCTCAAGGTTTACAAATGCCTTCAGGTTTTTTAATATTCTGCTTGCTGCTCAAGTTTTACAAATGCCTTTGCTTAAATTGTATAGCGCGGGTATGCTTTGCTGATTGCTGCGGGGGTCGCTGTCATGCAATCGTTTTGTGCGTTGTAACACTGCGAGCGCGACAGGCAGAGAGTGAAGCGTATTGGCGAGGAATGTCCTGTTCGGTTAGGGCAGTTCGTTTAGGGCGGTTCCTACACATCATCTGCCGGGTGATGGATATGCTTCAACTTTACTAAGTAAATATGAGTGTTGAGAGGCAAGTAGTTGATAAGGAACTGCCGTGTGTATGCACACGATACAGGTGGCTGGCAGAGATTACTGCATGATTTCTGCTCCCGGTAGTTCCGGGTTCAAATTTGACTGCCTGTGTTTCGGTGTGTGAGGGGAGATGGACCATTTTGTGGACGGTGTTGGATGTGATTATATATAGGCCGGTTGGGTTAATGGGCCCCAAACGGTCGGTAACCGGCATGTTTATGCCATAGGGATAGCAATATGTGCGCTGACCAGGAACTAAGTTGTTGCACCGTTTATCCGCTATATTGGGTTGGATGCTGGTGGTGAGTTGCTGAACCCAACGAATACACTCTGAAGTCGGATGGGGTGAATGGATTAGGGTGCCCCTCTCGCAGGGGAGAGCAGGGAACTGCCTCGGGAAGGAGGCCACTGGTGAAGCTATACCACCCAGTAACAACATACGACCCAGTACAGCGAGGGATGCCAAGCTTCTATTTGGGTCCCACAGGCGCATTGGTTCTTTAACCGCCGTTGTCCTGACTATTACCAAGAGGTGTGCTGGGACAGTGACGTCTAGTTTTCCCTCCACCCACCCAAGCAGTCCTGGGATTGCCGCGATGCAGTTGTTGCTGGCCTTGGGTGGGTCACTGCTCTTTGGCCCTCTTGGCCCTGTTTGGGCTTTGAGGCATGAAGGTTTTAACGGTGCAAACAGGTAACTTTCATTATTATCAGCGACTATTGCAACATTCACAATGGGTTGGTGTTGGGAGGGGGTTTCACAAGCGGTTTGTTATTACCCAGCCAAGCTATTGGCTGGCTACTGTAACGCGGAGCGATAAATCGGTGTATAGGTTGTAGGAAATTTCTCCCGCCTGCCATCCCCCAACATTATCGTGTAACATAATCCAACAAAATGCTTGAGTCCATCGTGTCCAATATATAGGCCAAGCCGTCTGGCTTGCTGGAACAGCCGCTCGTCCAGCACGGCTTGTGCCACTGCTGTGTGTGTGTGGTTGTTACAGTGGGCTCCAGACTTCCGAAGAGTAGAGCCATCGGGCCAGCTGGCCGTGCACTGCAGTAGAGACTAATATACCAAAAGATTATCACCTCAGATAATTAACCTCTCATCGGTAACCGCTCTCTCGAGCACAGTAATTTGCCAGATATAATTCTCAAGAAGGGGTGATGTGCGCCAACGGAATCCCAACCATTCCGTGGAATTCCCAAAGCTGCGAAACCCTGAATGCGGCCCCAAAAGTCAACAATAACTCGACAAATTGCTTCTTCCGTAAGGGAAGGGCCAGGTAACAGTGCCGGGTTGGTTTTCATGTTTGCAGCCATATAACGTCTCCCATGCTCCATGGCTGACACCGCAGCAAGAGCCACAACATCCCAAACACATTGTTGCACTGATTGTGGGGCTTGGATAAGCCAAAGTTGCTCCCTTGAGACTGGCACTCCTATTGAAAGAGTAAGTTGATCTGCTACTGCCTGTGCCACCGGACAGGGCCAGAAATGATGATAGCGAGGGGATACACCTCCCACTGAACCTATTGGATAACCTCCACAACCACATATCGTTGGGCTCGACATCCTAAGATGGGAATTTCCTAACATAGGCACCCCATCAACCGCGAGACGCCACCAAACCTCTTTTTGTTCATTTTCCCACCGTAAATGAAACCATAAACGATGGAATGTCCGTTGCAAAAGAAGAATAGCTTCATCCAATATCTCAGAAGAACCCGTCGCCTCTTTGATGAAAAGGGTATGGGCCACACGGCGAGCCATCGAAAAAGGTGAAAGTTGCATATTAGTCGCTATTTTAACGGATAAATGTTGGAATCGGATTGGAGGCCCTACACCCCATCTCCAACCAAGCCTCGACACTAGGGTTTGGGTAACCGACTCAATAGGGGGCACCATCGCTTCCCTAGATTCTACACTCAGCGGCAACAAAAGACTAGCCGCCTGTCTCCAATTCGCTGGAATATCATCTAGAAGAGCGCCAATAGCATCCATACATTCCTGCCATTTACGATAGGTGCACAGGGATTTAGCTAGTGGGGTTTGCGGTTGGAGGTATTGATCCACTATTTGATGCCAAGCCTTGCGTATTGCTAGGCCTGCTTGGTCCGTTGCATTCATAACTCCATCCAAGGCCTCGCGCGCGCAAAGAACATCCCCCAACGTATGCAATGCTTTACAGCCCAGGAGGGCTTGATGTCGAAATTCTAGTCCCGGTCGGATGTTATCTAACTGGACATTCAACCTTTTTTCTGGAAGAACAGGCCCTAAGGCACTGATTGGGTCGGTAACCCATGGGTTACCCATCGGTTACCCACCTTCAACCCCCCGTAGCCCATTGGTAACCCCCTTGTAAGTTCCTACCCAGCAGGAGGGGTAACACGGCCCCAGGGTAACCCCCTCCGTTGCCCTGGACTATGGACATGGGCCTATAGGCTGCTCATCTTATTTGCTGCGCACTTCGTGAATTCATTTTAGTACATTTCTGTAAATGTACATGTTACATGTACATGTTGAACCTACAGTATCCCGGTAGCTCGGGAAGCATCGTTCGCCAATATGAATTAAAGGCCTCTAACGCTACAGGAAAATTTTTGTAGAAGATTTAGACTATGTATGTATTCAGTTTTAGCGTTTGTTCCCGCTTTGAGGGCATGAAACTCCCGTGCTGTATTATTGTCCCTAATAAGATTATTCATTCGCATTCATACAGTTCGAAGTGGATTGGGGAACGCAATTTAGCTTGAAATCCATTGTGTCTCTGGCTAGTTCTGAAAAGAAACCTGAGACCTGCTAGCGCTCAGTCCAGTCACTGCATGCCCCTGGGATTTCAAAGCGGATGAGCATGTCGATTGACTGTCTTACACGATGGCCGATTGTT